TTGTTAGTCGTGCAATCTGAACTCAAAAGAACCCTTCAAAGGTTCCGGGTAGAAAAAAAAGTCCAATTTAAGTATTTTGTATACAATAATTTTGTTGAGGCCACCGAAATAGGCTAGAACATTTTTCTTGTGTGCTGTACTGACGCCACCGCTAAAAGGACCGCTCAAAAGTGGTTTTCCATGTTTGAAACCGATATCCGGAGCACAGGTAACATTTCCTGCTCTGGCTGATCATTCGATGACGACCATCTGAAAGCACTGTTAAAGGAAGACTGCCAACAAACAATTCGTAACCGAAGAGATGGGTGGTAACCGTATGACCAATGTTAACTGTCTCACGTGTTTTGGGCTTTGACGAAACTTTTAAGCTTGGCTACCATATGAACCCATTGAATCCGAAGCTGCACCTCAACATTTCGCCGGGTAGCGAGCGTCACGCAAGCAGGTAACCTTGTTTTCGTACTGCTGACTTGGATACGAAATTTTTGAAATAAAATTCGTCACAAAAAGATCATACATGAAGACACTGTAATAGTTAGTTATCACGATATTACAATAATATATTACTGCGAAATCTTTGGATCATCAGTCGTAATGTAACTTCTTTGAAATATTCTACAGTCTAATCGATGAGTGTTTGATATCAAGATGCGAAACTGATTTTTTTTTTTTATATATACAGTACACTTTTATATACGCATCATATGGGAATAGCGAATTGTCTTTATGGCGGAATTGACAACAACTTTTCGTCGAATTGATCCCCTATGTTACCAAAATTTATTTCCTAAAATATTTTTTTATTATCCCCTATGTTACCAAAATTTATTTCCTAAAATATTTTTTTATTATCCCCTATGTTACCAAAATTTATTTCCTAAAATATTAAGATGATGATCATAATGTTTATGTTCCTATCCTAGCATAGCGGAACTGATATCCGCGACGTTCTCTTGACTACCCAATTGTAGAAAATACATGCAATATGTCGCTTGTGCAGCGTTTCATCGCAATACTGTTCTTTACTTTATTTTCAGTATGATAGCCGTTATATAAAGTACTATTCACTATGACTATACTATAACATCAGACGAAGTGCGCCTACGGTGCCCCTGTTTTGCCACGGCACATTAGTAATTTTATTATACACATATGTGAGCACACTAATTTACGAATTAACCTCATAAAATTACCATATTCATCATTATAATCTAGAAGTGCGCGACCTTGAGACAACATTAAAAGCTACAATTGGAAAATTATTTTCAAGATCAGATCCCCTACAGATCACCGCGGTGTTCAGGTTCCGGTGTATACTCCCGAAATTTCATCTGCCCATCACTCAGAACACCAGCTCCTTCAATTTTCAGTCCTCTTTCCGTTTGCATCCAGGATGCATTGTCTAGTTTCATTTGTAGATAATCATAGCTCGTACCGGGGACTGCAAACGAGCCGTATGCGCAATGACGTCGCCTTATTGCAGCCCATTTTTCGGAGCGGCTACTCACCAGGAACAGCAGCCTTCTTTAAAGCTTCACTGAACTTATGCTTTGCTCCGTAATTAATAATGGTGCTTGCGTGATTTGCGAATTGCTCAATTTGCTCCTTGTGACCCAGGTAAGCGAGAAAACCGAGTACCAGCACAAGTGCGCCAAGTGCCCACATCCTGCAGTTTTTGTTCACGATGGTGATGAGCAGAAGTACAACGAAGACGACGATTCCTGCCCCAAGCAATAGCGGAATAGTGCTTTCATCTACTAGCACGTTTGAGAACTCTCCAGGCTGCACTGTAGACGCTTCCATTATTGGGTGGAACGGAGAATCACATCAAACAATAGATACGAATTACTAATTTCAGTTTGCGAAGCGTTGAAAAGGGAACTGTTATCGTTTTCCTACCTAGTCGAAATACACATCAGCCTGGGCGTCGTAGCCGAACGCGACTGCAACTAGGTTCAAACAAGACTGAAAGAAACCAAACCAAGGCACTGGATGGCAATAACGGCCTGATATAGCGGCTTATAAAGCATGGTGTTGAAAAACAGTGGTGCGAGCCCAAACGTTGATTTTTGCGAATACGTTAAGAGCATAACAGCTCATTAACTTGACATGCACTTGAGGTGCTCGAAATGAAGGATTCGAGGCTGCTTCGCCATTACGGCTAGGGATAATGCTAGATACATTTCCTATAGAACGTCCCCCATTGTTAACCAGAACAGATGGCGTCGCGACCAGGTATGGTGGTACCGCCAAACGTTATGTATTCCGTGCTCGTTGTGTGCCGCACCTCTTCTGTGCTTACACTTATGAAGCAGATGAATTAAATGGAACTTCACACAATTCGGACAAGCGAAGAGTGCGCTAGCCTTGCGAGTAGATCAGGTGAAATCTATTAGTTCCAATAAAAGTGGTTTCTGTGATATGAAAAAACGGAAGAGCTGCTGTTTACTTGCTGATGCTGTATCTCATATCAGTATCAATAATCTGATACTACCTATAGGATAAATGACAGATTCAGAGCCAAACCGTGCTACCAGTGCTGGCAATTGGCCAGCAAATAGCATCGAAGAGGTCTGATCACGCAGACAATAACAGGCAACATTTACACGCATCAGAATCGATTATAGGAAATTAGCGAATACTAAAGACTATATAAAGGCTATACAACCATTATGCGTTAGTTTGAGATTTAACTAGAGGCTACTTATGTAAAGCCATCACATTATATTTCTATTGCGGTAATATGTTTACCCGCTACACTTGAGATCACTTGGTAAGGTAGACTAGACCTGTTTTGTATCCTTTTCTGCCGGAAGCGTTCTGCCCCCTAAAGCAGCAGTAGTTAGCGACAGTAGAACTGGACGACGACGTTAACTTTGCAATATGCCATAATACAGTGACGCCAGTCTGTCCGCGTTTACAGAGTACCTCACTTCGAGGTTCGACAACAGATAGGCATATGACGGTTACGAAAGTCAGCTTCTTTCTTTTTAGTGTTTAGGGCTTTCCTTGAAAAACACAAGCAAGCAACTGGTGAGAGTCCTAGGCCGACCAGGTACGGGACACTCAAATCAGGCCTAGGTTAGCGATTCAATAAATTACCTGCTTTATTATTAATTATCTCATTAGTTAATTAAAAAAAAAAACTGCGTAGTTGTTCTTGCCAATGATAACAGAATCGGAACCGGGTAAACTAACTATAAAACTCTAGACGGGTAGTAAAATGGACTCCAACGAAGTGAGCAGGCCAATGCACAGGTGTTGTGAGCGGATTAAGGGAATCAATGTCTACAAGCGAAGCCATAGATCTTTGCCAATCTCTAATTTAGTGGTTATAAAGCGTTACACGTTGGCCATTGAGTTAATTCGCCTCCCTCCTATTGTTAGTACTGTTGATGTAGTTGCTTAATCTTCGTATTCAATTAAGAACTACCATTTTTTTTTTAATTAAGAACTGTTATTTTTTTCACTATAATGAAGGATAAAAACTAAACAATTACATTTCGCCTGTTATACCTGATTTTCGAGTCCTAGAAAAACATGCGGATGCTATAACATGATAATATGAATCAGACTTGGACAGCTGCTTCAACCACACATGTGTACATACGAATACATACTGATATCTATCCTTTCATACCATTTGTTTATTGATTTTTTACTGGAATCAGTAAGACGACTCAGTGATAATTTTATCCCTACGACTAAGTGGTTATGACGATGAGAAACGCACCTTTTTAGCCTTTATTTCTATTTTTACCTCAACACCAAACCAATCTGCAGATTGTATGTTGACTGCAATTAGTTGTAAACTTGATATTATGTTATTAATATACGCAGACAGTAAAAAGATCCTCATGTACAAAAATATGATACAAAAACGTGCTCAACAAATATTCAGCTTCATCAACTGAGGTGTATAGTTAAAAATCCTAAATTTTCCGTGCGAAGTAAATTAATACATTTTTACGGCGAAGGGATCTGGTTTATGATGAGCATCCACTGTCCTAGCGTGGTTCGTTTCTATGAGTACGTAAACAGGAACGAAAATCTCGCAACAGAGGTCGGATCCTTAACGTTTAGCTTAGTTTTACTGAAGATCGCCGGTAACGTTTTGTTGAAACGTGCTGTAACAGAAATACTCCAAACAGTTTTTGACGCAGATTAATGGAGCGGATAATTTGGGGGGCTAAAATTGCGCACGGCATAGACGATTATCCTTTGTCCGTAATCCTTAACTAATTGAAAGATTTAGTAGTTCATTATATGAATGGCGTTGTCATTTATGGATGGTGATGCTTCAACAAACCGTTAATTAGTTCTTGCCTCAACCAAAACGCTTTCCAAAATTTATTTTCCACATTATCCGAGCTTATCTACAATCCGAGCTCTTCAATTGCCTTCTCACGAAGTTTATGCTTTTGTACCTTACCAATGGCAGTCTTGGGTAAGTCATGTTCAAAGAGGAAATATTTCGGAATTTTAAAGTAGGCGATTTTTCCTTTAAGGAAGTCGCGAAGTTCTTCCGCGGTGGCATTCTTATTTTCTTTAAGGCTAACGAAAGCGCAGATTTCTTCACCCATACGCTTGTCGGGAACGCCGACTACTTGGGACTGCTCGACAGCTGGATGGGCATCCAATTCAATCTCTATATCGATGGGGTGGACATTTTCACCACCGCGAATAATCAGGTCCTTTAGTCGTCCAACAACATAGATGAAGCCTTCACTGTCCATTGTTCCGATATCGCCGGATCGATACCATCTCGTTGAGGTCAGCACCTAGAACATAACGTATTGTTACATACAAGCTAATGTATGCATGAGGAATAGGTTTTTTCGTCTTCGATCATCTCAGAAACATACCTCTTTAGTTTTGGCCTCTTCGTCAATATAGCCACTGAAGATGTTGAATCCACGTATCCATATTTCCCCGGTTTCTCCACACGGAAGCTCAACACCCGTCTCGGGGTTGGCAATTTTTATCTCTGTGTGGGCAATTGGCTTGCCCACGGTCTGCAGTCGCTTCTTTGGCGGATCTGTCGGCTTAATACTGGTTGCTACAGTGCTCGTTTCAGTCGAACCATATCTAAATGAGATAAAGCGCATAACAAGACCATCGTCACCAAACATGTGAACGTATATGATGGCTGTAAAATTGCAAATATCGTTCGATTGAGAAGTATTGAATATATGATTAATTATATTAAGATGTGTGAAGTCATTTAGCAAGCCTATTTATGAAAACAAATATAGGTTGCTCCACCTTATGTGATTAAAAGCTAATGAAATTATGAGGTAAATCAGCGATACACGCTAGATTTACTCCTTCTTATTTTTCAGCTTTAAGGCAGTTTTCCTGAAGCTTCTTATCAGCTGTGTACCTGTGATTTGCATTACCATACTATCGCGTTGCGGGGTGAGTCGCCGATAAGCTACGCTATGCCACCTATTGCCCTTTATAAAGCATGGAAACAATCGCAATCTATAATATATAGAGGAGATATGAAGATTGCAACCATCATTCGGTTCTGTTGCCCTCGATACAGGCAGAGATAGACGCGACGCAACGAGGTTATGCTTTGCCACAGCGTAAACATATTGTGTGTGCTGTCGCCTGGCGCTACACACGTTGATAAGACTCTTCAAGAGGTCGAAACATCTGACAACACTGACCCTCTTTTTCAGGCAGTATCTTATACTAATAAAAACCCCTAATAACGTTGTTGTAAGTATGAGCATTATCTGAGCCCCGAATCTATTAAGCATTACCGCCGGAATCGCTTTCGCTTCCTTCTGATTTTCAGGATTTTCTCGCCTGATTTGTCTCGGTGGGCGCCACGGACTGATTCACGCCTCGCCTATGGCTATCCCGGACCTTTGTTATTTTTAGAGGTTTCGTTATAACTTCATAAGATGTTCTTTAAGAATCCGCAGCGTCTTACTTCATCTTCATTCTTTCAACAATCTTCATTTTTAAAATGAGTTTACCAGTAAGAAACTTTTGTTTCCCTGAAGATTTCACTGCCGGGCGTTTTCACCAACGCCTTTATTTCTAAGAAACAAAAACTGAATTATTGAGCGTTAGCTTTTAACAAAAAGCGATACTTTCAATTCAAAGCCCATTATTCTCTGGTAGCACTCAATCAACCTTTGCTCGTAGATAGCCGAACATTTACTGTTTATATTCATCTTAAATTTTACCCATTAATGGCGCATGATGTAAATATTGGTGCATTAACTATATATATATATATATATATATATATATATATATATATATATATATAGTTATGCTATATGTATATATATATATACATATAGCATAACTATATATATAGCATTTTCCCATGGAAAAAAAGTATTAACCTAGACAGATCTGCATCTATTTGAAAAGCCAAACAAAGCACTTTAGAACCCACGGGCGCAATTATATCTCTCAGTGAAAACATTTTTTCTTCAAAAAAAACAACTAAAATAGACCGCTATTTTCATTATTGACGACAAAGCGACTAATTCTTTAGTTAAGTTGTCTCAGAAGTCGACAAACTAATCTCGTTTGCTCCTATATCGACTAGAATAGGCCATTTGAATGATGACCGAATAGAGAATTTCTCCCCGAGCGAATAAAAAAAAACCTTTGGGGAGCAAACAATGCCATGTCGGCCTCTTTCTAAACGATACGCTTCTGATGACGGAAACTACATTTTGGTGAATCGGCACTCTTAGTAAATAAAAATGTAACTGATTCTCAATTTTAGAGTAAAACACGAACACATCGCTTTAAGTTTATACAAAATGCATTTTCAATCGTGACCGTATATAGAATTCGTCTAATGTAACGAAATTGCTTTCTTTCAATTTACCCAATAAGTGCCATCGTCTCGTTTCCAAAGTTCTCTTCAACTTGCTGACGAATCTCGGGTGTACAGATTGCACCGCCCATTATGCAACGTTTCATAGACGACAAATCGTACTTTGAACGCTCAGGGTGGTTCAACAAATCGATGTACATTGTTGGCGAGCCGGACATCTGAGTACATCGATACTCGTGAATGGCTTTCATCGTCTGCAGCTGATCGTAACCCACCGCTGGAACTATTGTCTACAATAGAAACGTACAGCAATAGTGATAATACTTAGAAACGTGCATAGCGAGCTGTCAAATTGACACCAGCTAGCAGACAGGCATCCAGAATGGAGGGTCAATTGGCGTACCACGTCTGGCATAATAAGCCCGACCGGAAGCCTTTGTAAAACTCGGAATATATTTATTATTAACGTTTTACTAACAGCAGCATTCGATTTGTTCACACGAGCGAAAAAAAAAAAAAAAAAATAGCAAACGAATTACTCGACGCAAATAGACAACACCGCGTAACGTGTGTGACGAGGAGCGCCTCTGTGGGACCGGGTGATGGTAAAATGGGGTCGAATACATACCGGTGTGTGACTAATTAAAGGATGAAACATATTCAGGAGCCCAAATACATGGAAGAATGGTAAAGGGCAGAGAAGTTTGGTGCTCGCTTCGGTATCTCCCGCAGTTAAATTTCTATGTGCAATCCGGACATTGTTGATGAAGCTATGATGGGTAAGGCACGCCGCTTTCGCTGCACCTGTTGTGCCCTGCACGTAAAAAAATTACAGGAACATTGCCGTCGTTAATGTTACATAATAGACCGGCCCGTCTCTCAGCGTAGGGACACCCATCTATATCATGTTACTACCCCGTTAATATTTTTTATGAAATGTATTACGCAACGAGGCAAAATGCGCCTCAGCGCGTTTACATGCAGCTAGGTACATTCAAAATGCGTTCTGCAAACTGGACTTCAACATCCTTGCAGTGAAGTCTGCTCTGCACAATGCAGAAGCCTTCAACTTGCCTAAAAAATATAAACAACAGTCGGTTCTCAACGGAACGAATATTAATAGAAGTGCATGGCTTAAAAACTAGTTAAAGGTATATTTGTTATGATTTTGGCTATGCAATTTACTTTCCGAAGTAAAAATGACCGTCAGCGGATCATCACAACACATCTCTGCTTCGACAGCCTGAAGATTAGCGTTACCACCAGCGAAAACCTCGCTCACGTGTACGGTACCGGGCAGCGGGCGATTCGCGTCGCAGATGACCATGGTTAGGTTAGGATGTTGCTTAGAGCACACTTGACCTGGAGCCGATGTTGTGATTTCGGGGATCCATTTACATAGATTCTGATAAAAATGTAGCGTTTTGAATTTTTCCGGTATGAATATGGCCTTAGCTTTCACCTTATCCATAGCATTGAAAAACTCTTGCTTTGAATAGCCCGGATGAACGGACGCCTGTTGGAAAAATAAGGACGGATGTATGATTTAATTTTCTATTTGCCTATAGCTAACTATTGTGCAACAGATAATTCCAAAGTATTATATTTGCTTGCAAGCATATCAATACATCGAAGGTTAGAACCAAATCATGCGCCTTTTCGACACAAAGCGGTCCTTTAACAGGACCCACTGTACCTGCGTTAGCAAAAGGTGTCGCCTGAAAACGATTTAAAAGTATTGTGAACGTTAGGGTTGGGTAACCCAAATTAGCTTTCACAGTCGGATCTAAAAAGCGATGCTTCGGAACATCTGAAGCGAGTCCAGTTCAGCTCAAAACTTCTGATACTTTTTTCCGTCAAGTTAAGTGTTGAGAGAACTCCTGACACCTAGGAAGCAATATTTGTAAAAGTAAAGGTAGCGTACACAGTGAAATTTATAACAGCCGCTTTCGAAATCTCCCTCTCCGAATCTAGAATAAATCTGAACGATCTGAATGATACCGCAACAATTGTAGATCGATCATACAACTATATCTGCAAGTTTACGTGAATAAAATACCTCACTTTTAATAAACTTTTTATCCCCAAATTTAATCCAGAAAAAATGGAGTCGGTTCGAACTATCCTAATGTTTCAAGTACCTATAAAATAATAATCGCAGTCAACTGATATGAATTTCGACCACGGGGCTATCGTCTATAATCCACACGTGTGCTTGTGATAACTTCTTGAGAGTACTTACACTCATCACGCCAATTCTCGCGCATGCCGAGAAGATAATCCACCAAGAGGTCGTGTTTGGGCAAAAGATCATGAGCGAGTCTCCCTTCCTAAAACCCATGCTAAGAAGACCCTAGACGAAAGCATGGATAACGTTGGTTACTATACTCCTATTCATAGTGGGTGTATCGTTCAACTACTAAAAACATAGTTCATATTCTTACCTTGTGAAGCTTTGTTGCCGATTTTGTATATTGCATTTATCGATAATAATCAACGATTATTTATTATAAAGTCAAAGATATACAAAAGTGCCAATGTTGCAATGGCTAGAGCGAATCGAGCTTTATATAGACCATTCTGAAGGAAAGGACTCGTTCTAGTTAGGCAATTTCGGGGATGCCCCATGGAAGTATTTCCTTGCACAAAAAAAATAGTTGAGGGTAAATAAGAAAAAAGCCTCGTTTCTACATCCTCGTAAACTACATTTACTATTGTTTACCTTCGCGCACTGGTCGACAGTATACTTATACTCGCCAAAAGTAAACTCTTTTCCCTCTTCGACGAACACATATGCTTGCTCATCGACGGCCATTGCCGCCGCCTGGTCAATACATTTCGCAAAGGTCCAGTTTACTAGTGGCTCCGTGCCTAGCTCGCAGTGATAGGACAATGGTTTCGTACATTTTTTTTCACAGTCGGTAAGAGATGACAACGAATGCGACCTGCAAGGATAAATTACACCTGTCCATATGTGAATTTTCGCTTATGCCGAATACCACACGCTTGAGGGATCTAAATGTTCAGGCACAGTATAGTCGCCAGGTACTTATTGAGGTGGTCTTCGAGTAAGTATACCTAGTACGTGAATTTTTGCCTGTGAAAAAGTTTAAATAATAATAACTAAATAATATAAATAAATAATAATAATAATAAAATAGTGTAATAAAATTTTTTAGAGAATACTTTGTGCATTTCGCTTAGGGTATCACGGAGTGCTTATATGATTTCTTACTTTTTGGGTGTTCGCTTCTAAACACAGAAAATGTTTTTAGCGTATTGGGAACCTGATACGTACAGTTTGATTTTCTGCGCGGCCTCGAACTGGACTGGATGTGCACAAACCTTGTTAAGGCCCGCAGGCTCATGCGGTATAACACAAAGCAGGCCTAACTGCCTATTCCTCTCGAAAGAACTGCCTATTCCTCGAAAAGAAGTTCTCGGGTGTATAATAGTAATTAAACCAATCTAAATTTGTTGATCGGATCCGACAGATCGAATACGTTACTCCATTCTGGTGTTGAAATAAACAATTAAAAGATACAGATTTTTCGACTTTGAAAAGGTTAGCACGATTGTTTCAGTCATGTTAGGCACAGAGCTCTAATCTTGACCGGAAACATTAAGGTGATCATGTAAACTGCGTGTGCAGCTACAAGTGCCAGACACTTGCATGGCGTCATGGAACCTGTCGTTACAACTGAAACTGATTGCTAAGGACACCTATTGCTAAGGAAATTGCTAAGGACACCAAATAAAACACTCTCATTCGAATGCTCCAGTGCTTAACAAGACAATTGCAAGTCAAAAACAAACACACACATTCCGTTTCATTACTATATATATATATATATATATATATATATATAGTAATGAACTATATATGTATAAGAGGCGTCGTAATTTTTCACTAGTTTCGCACCTAAAAACAAAACTGTACTTAATTTTCCATTAGCTTATTATTAAACAGATCACTTGGCATAATAATGCCCTAGTAGCTGATGGGTTTCAACATATCGTGGTGTGATGAAGGGCGCAGAATACTCAACCCAACACTATAATAGGATCTTTTCCATACATTACACTCTTACACATTGAACAGATATTGGTGGCGTTACGGTATCCGTCATCATCCTTTCTATTCACAGTGACGGTCGTATCTGGAATTGTTCAAAATGACCAGACCGATCAGGGAATTCTATATTCAGCCAGCTAGGACGAGGCTCATGGACTATAGAAGTACGAGTTCTGCTCAAAAGTTTAAACTTTAGCTGTTTTCTCATTATTTTTTATTGTTCCAATTAACTATTGACCGCAAGCAGGCTTGAGTCCGCGATATCTGGAATCGTATTTCGGTGTAAGATCGTAGGTCACTCAAATATGCCTTTACCAACCTTAAAGATTTAAATTTGTTCAGAAAACTTCATGAAAGGTTTTAACTTTTAATCCTGCAAGGCATCTGCTAGCTTTCCATTAGCTAACGACAACCTCGTAGTAAACCAGTGTATTTCTGTATTTATAACACAGAAACTTACAAATTTAATATTTTAATAAATTGCTCGGCAGGTGTCAGCGTGACGATGTTTAGGTAGGTTCCCCTAACGCTACTAGCTTGTCAATGTTGAACAGTTGGGGGTCTAACCATTCCGCAAAACGCCGCCAACATCCAATCGGCGATTGAAATAAACAAAGAAGTACAGTCTAACAGTACGCAGAATGTTTAGTCTAACGAAACGATACAAAGTACGTACTATCTGAATTATTAAAGAAGTTCGTCTGAGTACCATAAGTTCGCTTTATTTGACTAGCTTCCTGCGACGAATTTATCTTCGTTTGAGAACTTCAGTTTTCACCACTCAGGGCCTCGTCTACTGAGGCAATTTCATCCCAGAAAAACCAATCATTCCCAAACAGCTTGCCGATCAATGTCAACAAATCGACAAAAAGAAGATTTGCGACGACATACGGTGATAACATTTACACCTATAAAGCAGGCTATCTTTAACTTAAACGCGATGGCCCGAGCGCAACGTTGGCTCCATTGATGTTTACCATTTCGACGCTCGCGAATTTTCACTGCATTATAAGCAGTGATTGCAAAACAGCTGAGCAAGCAGAAATGACGTCCTCTGTTAGATTGAAAAGGAACTCGGAAGCCACTATAGCCCTGTGGTTAACGACTAGTAAAGACCCACGGTGATCTGGCAGGTTTCTTTTGTTTGCACAAGTAACAATTACCCGAATAGACTTTTTTTTTTTAATCGTTCCATTTACGTACAACTAGGTACGACAACTTGTTCCAACAGGGCGCACAAGTACGCACAGATTTTTGCTTAGTCTCATATACAATCGACTCGGCTTCTATCACCTATGACCTATTCGTTCAAAACTGTTCCCTCTCCTTGTCGATAGTACGATTTGGGGAGTAACGCTCAACACCATCGTACAAACGGCTAATAATCATATTGCGCGGTTCTATACATTAACTTTGTTACTCAATTGAGATGATTTGATGCGACGAGCAGAACAGGTCTATCGAGAACAAATGTTCAGCTAGACTTTGGTTTTTTGAACTGCGGCAACAAGTTTCGTTAGGCACAACGGGATGCATTCATGAATCGGACGGTAGAGGGCGCCTCTTTTCAATGGTGCCCTCGTGTTTTACGAAATTCTGTCTTTTCTTCGCTCCAAGCTAGCCCGTTGGATAAATTAGGAACAGATTAGTAGGCTTAAGATCTCTTACTAAAATGAGACTTGCGTTGAGTCGAATAGATACCAACTTTGCTATCTGTTTGGCTTCGATGGCTTCGAAGGGAAAGGAAGTTTGATGTTTGGAAAAGAAAGGTAAAACCATCTTTAGCTTGTTATCAAGATACCTTATTTCGTTCGAAAGCATCTTGTTTTTACTTCATAAATGCCTAATTTCGTGCAATACAGACCGATTATATACGATATGCCTTCGCGCATTTAGCGCCTGTTGACGCTATTGTCACGTAATAGTAGTCTAAATATTATATTTTTTTTTTTTTTTGCATACTCTAACTGGAAGATTTCGCGTTAGAAACGGCTAATAGGAAGCTGATTTTATTTGTGCTGTACAAAATTAACTTCGGGCCCACTATTAAGACCTGTCATAACCGAAACTCTAGCTTCCAAAATTAGACTCACTGTACTAGAATCGCCCCATTAGTCCTGCTGTATCGATTATCGATGGAACGCCTAGCTTTTTTCGTTATTGAAGGACTCGCGGTTAGGTTTATTTTGTCACATTCGCACGGCTGCCTGCTCTTCACATGCTTAATTTCAGAACATTTGAACTTGCACCTTGTATTTTGCAAGCAATTTGAGCTGAGGAACTGACTTTGGACCTTTCTGCAATTTGCAAAAGGAGTACATCATGTTCGGAATGAGATACGAAAATAAGAAAAAATTTGAGAGGATCGGGGAAATCCGAGAAAGACAAATGTGAAGGCCTGCATTCGTTTGTCATTCGTTAATATCTATAAATAGGTTATATAATTGTTTTAAAGACTACAACTAGCTTTCACGCACCTGCAGGACGAAGAAGTTATCTCGCCCTTCCGCTGAATCTATCTTTTGCTAATGTCGTTACGTCATGAAAATCCTTGTCTTTTTTATTTGATTTAACCCGTTTCTCAATTGTTTACTCTATTTATTTTATCGAGTATGAACAACACGCTTCAAGCAAAGAATGTATGAAATATCCGTAATTTTCTACACTTAAGCGATGGCTTATATTATAAATATTAACCGCCCAGTGTAAGCCTTTTACGACGGTTTTCGAAAAAATGCTCAGGAAGGGCTCAATTCCTTCAATTTAGGATTACGTTCTGGGGAAAGATGAGCTCTACTGTCTGAGAAGAAGTATTCAATCAACAGGGAAGATTTGACAATCACCCTGTTGCACGATGAAAGTCGATCATCAAAATGAATACTTACACTCACATAGGTTCGAGGACCCTGTTCATCGATGTATCACATTTTCAGTTACCTCTCCCACGTGAAATTTGTCCTTCCTTGTGCAATATCACGATTTTATTCGACTCTGAGAAATGTCCCTTGTACCTACAACATCGACTGTTTGTTATTACTTACACAGTAGACGTATGAATCGATTGAGCCGCGATTGTAGTCCATACGTGTTTGCTTCTCCGTATTATGCCAGTTTTCGGGACATGACCGCGTGAGGCAGTCAGCTTCGCTGGGCTAGAAAGCCTCAACAAATTAATGCCTCTTCTTCCTGTCGCATTCATCTTGTGGACCGTCGTCAGCTACAAAAACTACTCAGGAATATATAATAACCGCTTTCGGCGCACAAACTTCAATCCGCTCTACAGTATAATTTGCTTACCAAGCCGGCACAAATGTTGCTGACGGCCACCTGTGTTATTTTCAATTTCTCCGATTCAATAGCTGTTTTTCGTAATCATTCGGGTTTTCAGTTTACAGCGCACTGCACCTAACATACGTGGGCATGTATAAGCATGCCTTATCCTCCTATGGGTTACGTCTGGCGAAACGCTGGCTGCACGTTTATAGACACTTCCGTATGCCAGCCACCACCGCGACTACTCTGTCCGCCATCAACTACTGCAAGAAAGGCACAGCTCCAAAATCATTAGTCCAAACTCGTTTGTTCATTGGTTATTTTCCACCGAGCGCTTGTTGGCAACGGCAACTCATGCTGTTGTTATCGATTGCGGTAAACACGATATAGTGCCAGTTTGTGATGCTTGTCCAGATGACAACACGCAGCTCACGTTGACAGTAACGATGTTCATAAGTGCTGCGGAATAACCAACGCTCAAGGGCAATTCTCTCATCTGTTCTTTGACTTAGCGGTTCCAATCGCTCTGATGACAACGAGACAATGAATGTTCTAGGGGAAGTGATAACGATCGACGGACGCAAGACGTTGTTCGATGTAAGCTAGTGAACGTTCAAACGCTAGGTAGTCTCCTCCTATTTGTTTCGTACTATGGATATCATCTGTTAGTCCTATTGAGCTCCGCACTATAATTCATCCTATAATAGCTAATTCTGATAACTTTCTCTATGTACGGCGTATGCTTGTTTACTAGAAATAGTAATGGCCTGTCACAATTTAAGGTACTTCTAGCAGGATCAGCTGCATCCAGCCTTGCACAGTTCCTTTCTCCAGTGCTTTCCTAACATCTAGTAAAAGACAAATTGCTGCTCCAATGCCACTACATGCTGATCCTGTACAAAGTTGTAAACACAGCACAAATGGCAGAATGAGTTCGCTAAGTAACTGATGACGTTGGTAACGTCATAACTGCACGTATAACACAATAACGAACCGCGAGCTCCAAGAAGGTCGCGAGGAATATCGAGAGTGGAGTGGGGGGGGGGTACAATTTATGTCTTGTTTCTGCAATACGAACAATGCCAATGGCAACGAACACCACACGAGGATATGGAACAGCTATAACCCATTCGACCGAGCGAGTAGCACGCTATTCATTGACTGACTGAGTTCGGGCAAGAAAATACACGCCTTCACGCCGTACGGAACCGTATGGGACAGTTTGAATCTGCAGAAGCTGTAGATACAACAAACAGCCTTTAACACTTGAGTACTGTAAGAGTGCTAGCGCTTTTTATCGCTTGATAATATTTATATCAATACACCGTCTGTAATGAAAAAGCACTAACATGCGATGACTTTACTGACGCGGCCAAAATAACACAAAACCTAGCTAAAACGGATGCTATAGCAGCGCAATAAGATATTCGTTTTCGGTGTTCAACAGCGTTTTGAAAAGAGTAGGAAGCCTATTACGTTATCAAAGAAGGAAGGAGGACCCGCGACGGCGCTGCCGGCCCTAGTGGCTCGCGGACGGGTGACGGCTGTTAGGAAAGTGAAAAGAATTAGCGAGAGGTTGATGCGAAAAACAGAAGAAAGACGACAGGACTTGATAAGAGGGCGATGAACGTAAAAGTAGAGGTGGATGCTGCGTTTACTAGCGAACTAAACCGACAGTTCGATAGCCTTAGCTTAAGGTTAATGCTTGAAACAGGCGGAAACAGACTTCCTTATAGAATTCAACAGTGTAACTAAGTAGCAAGTGAGTTGGGTAAGGGGGCAAAAAGTTGGAATTGGTGGTCGGAAACAAGAACGTGAAAGTTTGCGTGGACAGTCGGCTGGCGTGAGAATGATGATTAATGGTTCGTATGTATTTAAAGTGAAGGGGCTACTCTGAAAAAATTCCTTCTCGAATGCTAGTGGCTAGCTTTTCTTTCGCTTTAAAAAATACATCTTATTTGTGTGATTAATTGATAATCAAATTAAAAAACATCGTTTAGTTACTCAGTGGGTTGCGGTGTAATTAGATCTACAAAGGATGAAATAACCACCGTTGCAAGTACTATTTCAATTGGTGTTGTTTTGCGGGAACGCAAAAGAAAGATCAGATTGTAATTTAATTACGTGAAAAGTATTACGGTATAATTTAGTATTTTTTATCGGAAACAAAAAAAAAACAGAAAAGATTCAATGTTCTTTGCACAGCTGCAAGTGAAGTTTTGCCATTTCAAACAAGCAGCAAGCGAAAATTTTAGTCCAGGTATTTGGACGCTAACAATGCTTCCATGACATCACCATTCTCTTGGTCCACTTGTGCTTGCCTCCATAGAGGTGAAATGATCATCTTCTTTGGTACACCTTTGAATACTTTGGAACTAGAAGGTTCTTCTATGTTTAGACTAAATTGTCGCTGTTCATCGTAGTAGTTTTTAAAAGGTTACTTCCTTCTTCGGTTCACCAGGGTGATTTATGGCACCTGGCCAAGTCGAACTTACCGTTACTTGATCGAGGTTCGAGTCAGTCAACGATTTAAAGGCTCCCAGACCAAAACAAATTCAGATTTGACATAAAAGCACAGCTCAGCTCCCATAATTTAAAGTAAATATACTCATATAATTGGAGATGAAACCATTTAATTATTTGTTTCGATCATAAGACATTTATACATCAAGACATCATATACGTGGAAAATAGTTATTAATAAATAGGAAGTTATATACAAAACAGGTTGATAAAATTGGAAATTTTTAAAAAAAAGTTGGAGATGCGGGGTATCGATCCCCGTACCTCTCGCATGCTAAGCGAGCGCTCTACCATCTGAGCTACATCCCCGACAGCGACGAGACGGAAATACTTAGTTGTACCGGAACCATACACGCGTATTCCGTTTATAGGTCGCTTTCAGTTTTGAAAAACAAGACTCTGGGACGAATTAATTTGCATTCGGTCGTAAATAACGTCAAATGCTAGTTAGTGGACTTTACGAATTAACATCATAGATTCCATAAATAAAGTATGGACATGTTTATTTATGCATGTTATACTTATATAAATAGGCTATATAGGGTGGCCGGATGGGTCAGAACTCTCAATATGCAAATCATTCTACTCGCTCCTCTTCCTTTTATATGTTTAAATCTGGATAGCTCTGCTGACCTAACGCCCAGGTTGCACATATGAAACTCGGCCAAATCACCAATGCACAATTTCGACACAAACGTCGAGTCGAAACAAGGAGTAATTGATGTTTATCCCCCATTGAATAACTACCGGAAGCAGACAAATCTAGTACACTGTTTTGACTAAGCATTTATGTTTTTAAAAAGCTGGACCTTAAAAGGTCTGTCTCATTGTTTCCGATACGTATACTATGAGTTTTCCTACAAAATGAACTCAAAATCTTTAATATAATACTCTTTAATAATAATAATAACAACACAGTACGTTTATGACTAGGCATGTTGTCAATTTTCACGAACACTATGTCTATTACGTTTAATAACACGTTTCTTAATGACTCAGAGACATATATA